CACACCTCAGTAACATCTTTAAAGACTCTCACCCAAAGCAGTGATAGCGAAGACAAAGATAAACAGCTGGGACTACATAAAACTAAAGAGCTTCTGTACAGCAAAAGAGACAGTAACCAAAACAAAGAGAAACCCCACCAACTGGGAGAAAATTTTTGCACACAACATTAATGATAAAGGACTGAGCACAAAAATCTACAAAGAGCTGAGGAGTCTCAACAAAAACAAAAAAAAAAATCCAGTCAAAAAATTGGGCAAAAGAGCTAAAAAGGAACTCCAAAGAGGAAATGAAAATGGCCAACAGGCATATGAAAAAATGTTCAGCTTCACTTGTAATCAGAGAAATGCAAATCAAAACATAAATGAGATTCCATCTTATACCAGTGAGAATGGCACATATGAAAAAAACTAGCAACAACAAATGTTGGCAAGAATGTGGAGAAAAAGGAACTTCCTGCACTGCTGGTGGGAGTGCAAACTGGTCCAACCACTATGGAAAGCTGTGTGGAGATTCCTCAACCTGCTCAACATGGAGCTTCCATATGATCCAGCATTTCCATTCCTAGGTATTTACCCAAAGGACACAGAAACATTAATTCAAAAGGGCACCTGCACCCCTATGTTTTAGCAGCACTATTTACAATAGGTCAGCTATGGAGACAACCCAAATGCCCAAAAATAGATGACTGGATCAAGAAGATGTGGTATACACAATGGAATATTACTCAGCAATCAAAAAGATAAACTCATGTAATCTGCAGCAGCATGGATGGAGCTGGAAGAGTTCATGCTCGGTGAAATAAGCCAGAAAGAAAAGAAAAATACCGGATGATCTCACTCATAGCAGGAATTTAGAAGACCTAAATAAGGGACCAAGAAAAAGACTAATTATAATAAAGTAAAAATCAAAATCAACAAACAACTATAAACCAGAGAGACACTACAGGGGGGGGGGGGTAGGAGGGATTATGGTCAAAATAAGGGGGGTGGGAATTGTATGGGAACTATAACCAAGATGAAAATGCATACATTGTGCAAAAATGAAAAATGATGTAAAAAAATATAAAATTAAAAATAAATAAGGATTACATGCAAATAGATATGAAAAGGTAGCTTGGCCAACTATACTCCTATCAGACAAAGTAGACTAAAACAAAGACAGTACTAAGAGATGACAATGGACATCATATAATGATAAAAGGGTAAATCCATCAGGATATAACAGTCTCTAACATATATGTACCCAATATAGCAACATTAAAATATATAATGTTTATACTAATAGATCTACAGAGTAACATTGATGACAACATAATAGGGGACTCTATCATCCTATTAATAACAATAGAGACTTCCAGGCATAAAATCAACAAGGAAATATTGATCTTTTATGACACGTTGGACCATAGGGCGATAATATGTACAGAATCTTCTATCTGAGCAGCATTAACACTCTTTCTTCTCAAGTATACATAGAACACTCTTAATGATAGATATGTTGGGGCACAATACAGATCTCAATAAATTTATAGGATGAAATCATACAAAACATGGTTTCCAGTGTTATACCACAATGGTATTAAGTTAGAAATCAACAACAAGGTGAAAGCTAGAGAAATAAATATGTGGAGATGAAACAACATGCTACTAAATAACTATTGAGGCATTAAAGAAATCAAAAGAAATGAAAAAATACTTGAGACAAATGACAATGAAAATACTACATACAAAAATCTTTGAGATGCAGCATCAGCAGTACTCAAAGTTTATAGCAATACAGATTTATCTCAAAAAAAAAAAAAAAGAAAAGAAAAATCTCAAACAATCTAATTTTACATATAATGGAATAAGAAAAAGATGAAAAAAGCCCAGAGACAATATAATAATATAGAGGAAATATTAAAAATCTGAGTAGGAATAAACAAAAACCAAAATGACTATGAGTTCACACTAAAAGCTAAGTATTTGGGGGGGGAAAAAAAGCACAAAAAAATGAAATTGAACACCTTTAGCTAGACTAAGTAAGAAAAACAGAAACAACTCAAAAATCAGAAATGAAAGAGAAGTTACAACGAATACTATAGAAATACAAAAGATCATAAAGACTACTATGAACATCTACATGCCAATATACTGGACTACTTAAAAGAAATTGGTAAGTCCTGACAAATGTACAACCTTCTAAGACTGAATAATCATGATGAAATAGAAAATCTCAACATGCGAATTATAAGAAATGGAAAAATTAATCAAGAACTTCCCGAAGATCCAAAGACTAGAACCAGATGATTTCACTGTGAATTCTACCAAATATTTTAAGATGTAATACCCATCCACTTTGTATTGTTCTACAAGTTCAGCATTAACCTGAGAGCAAAAAACAGATATCACATACACAGTAAGAAAATTATAGACCAATATTTCTGATAAACATAGATGCAAAAATTTAAGAAAATATTAGGAAACCAAATTCAACAACAGATGTAAAAGATCATACACTATGATAAAGTAGGATTTATTCTAGCTATGCAAAGATAGGTCAACATATATGCAAATCAATCAAAATGATCTATCACATCAACATGAAGCTTAAAAGCTATATAATCATTTCAATAGAGAAAAACCATTTGAAAAAAACTACCATTCATTTACAATAAAAACTCTCAATAAAATATGCATAGCAGGAGCATGCCTAAACAGAATAAAAGCCATATATGACAAATCCATAGCTATTATCAAATGCAATAGTGAAAAACTGAAGACTTTTCTGCTAAGGTTAGGAGCAAGATAATGTCCACTCTCACCACTATTATGTAACATGACAGTAAAGTCTTAGAATGATTATGCAAGAAAATATCGAAATTGGAAAGGAAAAAAATGAAAGTGTTGCTATTTTTGGATTACATTATATTATACATAACAACCCATAAATACTCCACCAAAAATTATTAAAAATAATGAACAAATACAGTGAAGCTGCTGGCTAATAAAGCAATATACAGAAATAGGAGATAAGAAAACAATACCATTTATAACTGTAGAAAAAGAATGAAATACCTATGTGAAAATTTAATCATGAAATTGAAAGACTTGTACACTGAGAACACAAAAAGAGACTGAAGAAGACACAAAGAAATGGAAAGATATTCTAAGATAGTCTATGCTCAAAGGTTCAGAAGAACTAAAACTATTAAAATGGCCATTTTACCTAAAGCAATATTGAGATTCAATATAATCTTTATCAAAATCCCAACATCATTCCTGGTGGATATATAACTGAAAAAAAGTACTAAAACTTGTATGTAAACACAAAAAACCTCAAATAGCCAAACAATCCTGAGAAAAAAAAGAACAAAAGTAGAAGAGCTCAAGTTCCCTGACTTCAAACAATATTTCAAAGTTACAATGATTAAAATGATATGGTATTGGGGGGGAAACTGATACACAGACCAATCTAGAATTCAGACCCAAACATATATGGACAATAAATTACAACAATGGATCAAAGAACTTATAACAAAGAAAGGAAAGTCTCTTCAGGAAATGGTGTTGAGAGAACTGGACAGCAAAATAATGAAACTAGATTACTATCTTAAATATATACAAAAATATTAGTAGAAACCAGAATGTGAAATGTTACATGGTTATATGACTCCATTTATAGGATATTCTGGAAATTATATAACCTAGATGTATCAAAAAAAGATTAGTGATTGCCAGGGGAAAAGGGTGGAAGAAAATGTTAATTACAAAAGGGGACTAGTGAACATTCTGGGATGACAGAAATGTATATTTTTATTGTGGTGGTAGATGATTGTCAAATCTCAGAACAGTACACTAAAAAAGGGAAATTTTACCTTATGTAAATCATAATTCAATAAATTTGACATAAAAACAACTTTGCAAAGAATATGCATTAAAAATATTAATTTAGACTGAAAAAACAGAGCTCTATCATAGAGTCTAATACAATTTCTTTAATGAGCAAGTATCTTTCGACCTCTTCAACTTAACTAAGACTACATTAAGACAAATGAAATCAATAAGCAAAAGAACAAGCTATGTTTGAATAATAGACATATTCACAACCATGTAACATTACCATTTTTAAGCAAAAATCACTAACAAATTTATTAGTATCCACCAATACTCTAAGTTAAAAACAAACATACTTGTGTCCAAATTATCACCAGCAAAAATCATTGCCATAGGAAGTCAGTTTCATTCAAGGATTTTTAGAGTGTATTATTTTAAAAATCACCAGATATGTATAACTAAATCACAGAGGACACTGGCCAATGTGGTGAATGGTACTTAAGCTCAAATTCAGAATTTAGTATTTCTTTTACCCCCAATTCTTAAAAATTCATATAGTTACAGTAATATAAAAGCTATGCAGTTAAGCCAGAAGCCATAGTGAAGCTTTGGAAACTATGTTGACAAATGTTACTGTATTTATTGTCTGGGGTAGGCTAATTCTCCCTGAAATATTCTCTAGATGACAGCGATACATAATCTTTATATCTTCAAATGTTGAAATAAAAATGCCAATGTTTTAAAGATTACCTTTTATTTTAGTAAGAACTGTTTCTCTGGTCATGCTATCTTTTTAGAACCAAGAAAAAAGGTACTTGCAGATAAAAGTAGCAGGTGCTAATAGGTACTTAGGAGGTTAGTTTTTTATTAAAAACAGCATTGTCAGCAATCATCCCTTTGCCTCCCACAGGTACATTAGTTTACTCTCATGGGATTTCCTAGCTAAACTATCTGGTGAACACTAGGGCCAGAGGCAGTGATGATTCAGTGGCTGACACCAGATGCTGAACTGGCAACAGCAGTTTTATGCTGCAGTGACTGACTTTAGCTTCATGGCTTCTTTAATCTCAAATCTTGCTATTCAATAAAATATATCTATCACATTAAGATAAACTGATGCAGCAGGCAGCAATACAGAAGAAAATAAAATACAGTGAAATAGTAACAAATAAAATGTAGAATACCTTGTTTTTAGCCAATTCCTTTTCCAGATTGCATTTTTCTTGTGCTATTTCTTTCTCTGCTTTGTTAACCTGCCCAAGAGGGAAAAAAAGAAATGGATCAGTTTCAAAGCAGCTGACAGGCTTTTCTATAGCAGACATACCCTGCATGTCAATTAATACCTACACTGCAGAGATAGCACATCCTCTCAGAAAAGGGGTCACTCAGGGAGTCTCTGAGGCAGAGCAGACTTCATAAAAAGCCCTGAAATTAGAAAGACACGTCTGCACGTCATACTGCTGGTTCTCTCCTAACTAGGAAGATAAGGCTGTTCCCCTTTAATTTCCATTGTCCCACTCATCCAGTGGAAATTAATTTTTAAAATCTGATCCCTTAACTAACATAAGGATGTGTTATTTATATTCACTAATGTTGTGCAAGGGCATACTATTTGACATGGACTATTTTAAGATATACTAAATGATTAAGACTAGTCACTTAAAACATTTTTTGTGGGCAACTCAGAAAAACTGCATCTGGGTTGTAATTTCTTGTCTTTTGCATTTAAAATGTAATTTTAAAACAAGATCACCACCACAATCAGGAGGCAACATAGTTCTCCTTCCACCTACCTCTTTCTGAAGTTTTTCTTTCTCCTCTAGCAGAGATTTCTTCTCTTGCATTGATGCATTCAATTCACCTCGCAACCTTGCAATAGTTAACTCTAGTAGCTCTTTTTGCACAGCTGTCTTCTTCTCGGCATCCTGTGCTTTTTGGATAGACTGGTTATGTTCAAGGGTTAAATGGTCCCTGTAGGAAGAGAACAGAGATATATAAAAGCTAAGTAACTGTACTTCAACAGACAGAATAAATGTTGTTATAAAACATCTCTTTTGACTGAGAGCTGTTGCTAAAATGTTCTAAACATAACTAGTTACTTGAGGGTAGAGTCTCAAGTAAGGCAAGGCTCTCAAGTCTGCCCTTGCAAATACAGAATTAAACATTTTCATTAAGGAGTCAAAACAGGGATTATGGTGATGGCTCATGGGTGAATTGGTGGTGGGAATTTTATGGGGAATACACAATGATGTAAAAGATATAAATAAAAAAATTATTAAAAAATGATAAGACGTACAAATGCAAGAATAAAAGATGTGTGAGAAATTGTCCACGTTTTACTTACAGATGTGCTTGGAGTTGGGTTTTCTCATTCTGAACCATCTGTAACTCTTTTGTGATACTGGCATGGGCTGCATCCAGTAGTAAGTTTTGTTCTTGAAATGTCTGAGTCATCATTTTTTGTTCTACCTGAGCGTTAAAAATATTAAAAGTTGAGATGCCGGAAAGTCATTCAACAGGGTACCATTTAACATAACTGGTCAAAAATGTTGAATTTGCTTACAAAAGACAAATTTTACTTTTGCCCAGCTTTCTCTGCCCCCGCCCTGAAATGACCACAATTCTATCGTTTTACAGATCTACTAGTCAACAGCCTAATGCATGATTGACCTAGCATACTGCAAAACTCCTAACACGAGCATGTTTTTAAAGATATAAATTATAGGGGGCCCTTCCTGTTGACTCAGCAGATTGAGGAAAGATATAAATTAAGAATATTTTTTGTACTTTAAAATTTCAATATTATACATACTTTGTTTTAAAAAGTAAAACTGTATTAATGTATAGAAAGTGAAAGACCCTTCAACCTCTATCTCTGCCCCCCTCCAAATTATCTCACCAGGGACTATCATGTTTAATAAGCTGGTGTGAATTCTTTTTGAGAATATCTAAAATTGTACTCCAATACTGTTATACTAGAAGTACTAATAAACTGTTTTGCAAAATTTATTTTCTCTGGCTCACCACTTTGGAATTATCAAAACATAATTTTACATACACATGCTACCTATAATTTCTAAACCTTTTGCAAGTATGTACATATTAATGGTTATGTCACATGCTGATAGAAGTTGTATAAGATTGCATGTGAAGGTGCATAAGATGCATAAGTTGCATAAAAGGATTTTAAAACATTATCTTAGCAATACTTGATTGCAAAGGAAGTAGTCATATCAAAATTTCACTTGTGTATACTCTCAAAGTTTTCAAATATTTTTGACAGTGTCTATATTTGACAGTGTATATATTCAGTCTACTAAGTTGTAAGTTCCATGAAAGTAGGGATTTTGTTTTGTTCACCACTATAATTCTATTTATACCTAGCATCGTACCTGCATGAAGTAAACAATAGATGTTTGCTGAATTAACAAAAAATATTTATCGAGTACCAATTATATTCAAAACATGCTTACTTATTAGCACTATAAGCAATAATGAAGATATATAAATTAATGTCCTTGCTTCTTAAAGGAAGCTCACAATGTAATATAGAAAATGGCCCTGCACATTAATTACTACGATAGAATACAGAATAGAAAAGCAACGTAGCATAGTGATTAAAAATTAATTTGGAGTCAGACCTAGGTTTAAATCCAGCTCTGGGGTCTCCCTGGTAGCACAAGGGGTTGAGCGCAGCACTGTAAAGCTGTCCGCAGCCTCTGCAGTGCAAGTTCGACCCCTGGCCAGGGAGCTACCCACATGGCGCAGCAGAACTCTCCTGTCTCACCTGCTGCTCCCCTCAGCAGAGTACTTTGATCAGTCTGCCTATTCTGTTCCCCACCGTCTCTGGTGAATCCTCTCACCTCCCGCACCTCTGGCCTATACCCCAGTTCTTGTAATCATAAATAAATGAATCTTAAAAAAAAATAAAATAAATCCAGCTCTGCCCCTTACTAGCTGGGTGATTGTGGAGCAGTTGATTAACTTCTGTGAACTCACTTTTTCTTTTTCTTTTTTTCTTCACTTTTTCTTATCCATAAAATGAAAATAACATCCCTTTATATAATGGCCACTAGGGTTAACGAAAGCAACATACATAAAATCCTTAGCATAATTCTTGGTATATAGTAAGAATACTAAAAAAAATGAGAGCTACTATTATTATGGTAAACTTAGTGTGCTAAAGTAGAGGTTGAAAGAGAAAATTGATTTCTTCTGGTTGGAGTGATCAAGTTTCTTGAAGAAAGAGAGTCTTACACAGAACAGAAAGTCAAAAAGTCTTAAACAGAACAGAATTCTAAATAGTTGAAGGCCACTCTCAGGAGAGGTAATGATAGAAGCAAAATGGAAAAGCATGGGTGTTTGGGGAAAAGGCAAGTGTTTTATTTAGGGTAAGTCTTAAGTGTTTTCCATGATTCTATAAGTAATGGGACAGGTAACTTACTTTTCCTACAGTAGAGATATTTAAGAAGAAAAACATTAATAAAGCAGCATGTGTAAGACCAGATAACTACCTGATAAAAAACACTAATTAAAAAATAATCGAGATTTCTTAGAATTGTTAAAATATTTTATTTATTCAGTTGATCATGTACATTTCCTTATCAAGTGATAAGCAAATGAGCATTCCTGCTGACTCTAAGAAATTGACTACTGTTAATACCTGCAAAATTGCTTGATGGTCAGCAATGATTCTGGCATTTTCCATTTTAACAGTCTGAAGCATGCTGTTCAGCTCTGTACACTTTTTAGTCAGTTGGTCATTCAAAACCTAAGATATCATATATAATAGGTCACAGATAAATTTATTGATTTGGTGAAGCAATAAAAGTATTCAGCAGTTTGGGGATCTTCAGTCCTTCAGATTTTAAACATTGGTCAATTAGAGCAAGAAATCTGCAGGATGGAATTTATAAAGTAGGCACATAGAAATATATTATCAAAAGTAGATGATAAACATTCAGAACTGTTTAGCTGATAACACAAAATACCTCTAAGCTCCTTCAACATCAGTTAGTGTTCATAAATGCAAAATAGACATGACTGTTTAACTTCACAAGATCAATCTTTCAAAACAAAAATCTTTTGTATAATAGATCTATCATAGATGTAGTTGGTTAAAAATCCTTCGTCCTTTGTTACTTTGAAATTTGTGAGTATTCCAAATACTATGAAATACATTTATCTTACTAGTCAATTATTTTTATTGGGTATATTTGGTAAGGATCTTATGTTTCCATGATTAAATTCTTCAAGGAAAGGGGCAAATACCTCTGAAGGCTCAATAGGAAAACACATACACACAAATGGTTACATTAAACTAAAAAGCTGCGCAACAAAAGAAACTGTCATTAAAATGAAAACCCACTCCACTGAATGGAATATCTGCACATCATATAACCAACAAGGAGATTGAAGATCTACAAAGAATTCATAAAACTCAACAAATCCCCCAAATAATCCAATCAAAAAATTAAGAGAAAAATTGAAATAGAGATTTTTGGAAGAAAGCCAGCAGGCACATGAAAAAATGCTTATCATCACCTGTCATTAAGGTAATGCAAATCAAAACCACAGTAGGCTACCAATTCACAAAAAGAGACCAGAAAGAACAAGTGTTGACAAGGTTATAAATAAAAAGGAACACTTATACCCTATTAGTGGAAATGCAGACTGGTCCAACCCCTATGGAAAACAGTATAGAGGTTTCTTAAAACATTAAAAATATATGTACTGTATGGTCCAGCAATTCTCTTCCTCGGTATATATCTGAAGAATTTAAAAACTCTAATTCAAAATGATATATGCACTCCTGTGTTCACTGTAGCACTACTGTCAATAGGCAAGCTATGGAAACAATCCTGTGACTGAGGAGTGGATTAATATGCTATATATACATAATGGATTTCTATCCAGCAATAAAAGATGAATTCTTGTCTTTTGCTACAACATGGAAGGAATTGGAGAGGATAATGCTAAGCAAAATAAGTCAGAAGGAAAAAAACAAATGTTGCATGGTTTCACTTATAGGTAGAATATAAAAATACAAAATAAAGGTTCAACCAAAACCAATCTAATAACAAACCCTACGAATATATCTGTAGAATTTAGGTTACAAAAAAGGCTGGGCAAGGGTTGAAAGCAAAGTGTGCAAGGGATCCAATAGACTATGGTGCAAGACTATGGTGCCTTAGTGATAGGTGTGGCGTGATACAAACACTAAGAAGGTGTGAGCCTAGACCCTTAAGCCATATACAGTGTTATAAAACCAATGTTGCCTCCATAAATACATATAAATAATATACCATTTATGTATAGGAATTTTTTTAATGGCTCAAGAAATAAAAAATAAATGAACGAATATGTGGAAAGCATCATTAAGTGTATGTATAGAATAACAGGAATAAAGTCAGGGGTAATTCAAACTTTTTAACAAGATGTACAAAGTATTCATCAAGGAATGTCAAGAGATGAGCAGAACTCTTTCTCCTTAAAATAGCTAATTTCTTTGCAGTCACATTAATGTTATCAGATTTTAGCTGTAAAATCCTCTTTATATCAACTTTAAGATGGAAGTAATAATGATTTTTATAACACTGTTATTGTGAGGATCACAAATTTTATCAATATAAGGTGCTTAGAATTGTGCCTGGAATATAGTATATGGTCTATAAATGTTAACTATTTTTAGTATAGTAAGAGCAATAGCAGTAGATATTATCAAAGAGCATATTTACACTATATTTTCTTTGTCATAAAAAGAACACAGCAACACTATAATTCTGACATTAAAATAATCAAATCGTACCAACAAAAATATCTTTTAAGTTATTTCATTGGTCCTTATCAGAAATAACTCGTTTGTTGACACACATTTGTTGACTCTTCTCCATACACATCCATATATGTAACAACTAAATCTGGAAACCAAATCCCACAGAATATGGTCATTACAAAATCCAGTAATTAGGTTCCTACTGTGCTATTTAACTATGGAAGGCAGAAAAGCACAGGACTCATTCTGTGGCAATGAACTGCTTAAAAGTTCATTGGGAGAAATGAAAGCTATAAATTTAATGAATTAGAAAGCAAAAAAAAACTAGTGCATAATTTAGTAATATATCACATATACTTGTGTGTCATAAGAGCAAATTTAGAGAGCAAAATGAGAAATATAGATAATTTGGTAATGTTTTCTAGATAAAGTAGGCCTTATAAAAATAATGAATGGTGGCAATGGTATGAATGCATCAAATCTAAAAACTATAGAAATGGGAAAATTTACCTGTGCCTTTTCTGATACTTCTTGAAGGGATATTACTTCAGACTTCAAATATGCATTTTCTTCCTTTTCCTTGTTGAAAGACATCTGCACATTCTATGGGGGGGAAAAGTGTTTTATATTTAAGAGCTATTAAAAGTATCTATTAAAATAGTTCTGTATTTTGACAAGTACCAGCTGAAGTATCTAATAAAGTATTTTTTATCTTTATATCTTCAACTCCCAAACTTCATAATTATCAAAATTGCTTTTTAAAATATTTCTATATTGGGATTCCAAATAGAAAGAATTTGCCTAAAACCTAAATATTTCTCTAGCATCCTGTGTAAAGAAAGTGGTACTAGGATAAAATATTTGTTATGTGTACATTTTTTCCTATTAGCAGTAAGATTTTGTGATTTCAAAGAAAACACATTCAAGGATCTTTTAAAGTTTTCAGTTGGTGAAGATATTTTCATTGAGGAGCACTTGAGGATAGAGGAGAAGAAAACATCTTTGCTCTGTGGAAAAAAAGAAAAAATAGCTAATTCTCTTTGAAAAGAGGTATGGGTGATAGGGATACGAGTTGTGGTTTGTCTTTCCCTGAGATGTCTGAATACCCTGAAAGGTACTTAGTCAAATGGGAAAGAAAAAAGTTTATGTCCTTTCTCTACAGAAAGACCACCACTCCAGGGCTTCCCCGGTGGCGCAGCGGTTGAGCCCTGGGTTGCCAAGCTGCCCGCGGCCTCTGCGGCACCGGTTCGATCCCCGGCTGCTCCCCGGCCACCGGAGGAGGGTCCCACATGGTGCGCAGACCTCTCCTGCCGCCCGCTGCTCCCCTCAGCAGTGTACTTCGGTCCTTCTGCCTGCTCTGCTCCCCGCTCTGGCTCTGGTGAATTCTCTCGCCCTCCCGCGCGTCTGACTGTACCCATTGCATGTATAAACAAACAAAAAAACAAATAAATAAAAAAAAAAAGAAAGACCACCACTCTGTTTATCCAGGAGCATCTCTAGAAAGGTAAACATCACATAACACAAAAAGAGAGAGAAACCAGAAAAAATTATTTCAAATAAGATCTGCATATTGAGATTGATTTAAAATTTATTAAGATATAAAAGTAATGACATTTCTTTTTTTCATTTCTTATGGTAAAATATATATAAAATTTATTATTGTGACTTTTAAATATATAGTTAAATACAGTGCTAAGTGTATAGTTCATTTAATTAATATTTAAGTGTTAAAGTCAGTGGCAGTAGTACATTTACTTTGTTGTGAATCCATCACCACCAAAAAGTCAACATTTCTTATAACAGGTTCTCTAATCTGTAAAAATTTAGTTTGTAATTGGCATAAAATACAAATAAAGTCTCATTGTTTTTGTCAGTTCACCCTTTCGAACTATTATAATCTATATAAAAAGGTTTATTTACTACCCAGTTCATAAAAATTCTGAATATACAACTCATTTATACTGAAACCCTTTCTTAAATAATGGTTTTAGGAGAATTAAGAGTGTCAATCAACAGGAATGCGGAAATACTACTTAGTGAGGATATATTCTAAAACCTCAAAACTTACCTTGTTTTCTTCAACCAACTTAGAAATGAGGTCATCTCTAGAAACTAAAAACAAAAAGTCCATGTAACTATTATAACAATTACTAAATTGAAGTCACTTGTATTTTTCCCCTGAGAAACTTGGATTTTTTTTTTTTTTAGTTTGTGTGTTGGAGAAACACAGATATTTTGATAATATTTTTATAGACTGGAAACTATTATCATGAAGTTATCGAGAAACCAGACTACAGTCATGTGCAATGGCAAAATGAGGTCACATTTTACTTTTCTGCCTAGACGAGGATGAATTTCATCTCACAGCAGAAATGCACTTAATTGAAAGCTTTTTGCTAGAGAAATGATGCCATTCTATCAGAGGCTCAATAAAGACAGAAATCAGTTTGGTAGCTGTTACGGTAACCAAAGAATAAAGCAGAAAGCTGGCTTTAAGGTAATAACAATGCAAAGGACATAGTAAGCAGAGAGAATTGTAAGGACTTGGTGGTTGACTGGTATAGCATAAGGAAAATATCCAGCATTCAGACTTGGACAGCAGGGAGGATGGTGAACTCTTCAACTAGGGCAAGGAACAGGTTTGGAGGATAAAATGAGTTAGAAGGACTGCAATACTTTAGCTTTTATCATGTGTTTTGAGAGATCTGCAAGACATCCAAATATAGATGTTTAGCTGGCAGTAAGATACCATCTGGAGCTCAGGAGGATGATCTTGTATGAGAAAAAAAAGATTTGAAATTACTCAGAGTATATGAAAATAAAACCAAATGCAAAAAAAATCAAGGAACATTCTGGCTTTGTATACTAGTAGCCAAAAAATGTAAACTATCCTGAGAATAATGTTCTGGTTTCATGGAAAATTCATAAAAATCTATTAGTTTCTCTTCAATTATCAAAATAACAAGAAAATTCTAACATAAAAACTCATAATTATGATATAGTTAAAAAAAACTTTTGAATGTGAGTCCAAGACTCACTTCAAATGAATTCGAATTTAAAATGCGAAGATCAAAAAGATAAAACTATAACATTTTAAAAATTCCACTCATCAATGAAAGAATGAAGGGGATTGTTTTTTACTTGGAAGAACAATTTAATCACTTTAATTAGCACATATGTTTATTGCCAATATGAACAATTGTTGAACATTACTTTTTTAAATTCATTGAAAAGGAATTCCTTTGATGTAGTGATAATTAGTATGTAATAACTATCTGTACCTTAATATAATAAAATAGCATGCATGTGAAGAGTATTATTCAGTATGAAACATAGTTGGTATTCAGACAGGCTTTCTTCATATTAGTTTGAGTTACTGTTGTTTAATTTTTTTTTAATGGTCTTCCATCTATTCTTTACAAAATTCAAAAACATTAATCCATTGAAAAAATAACATGAAAGAAATCAGATAATAGAAATATCTGTATTTTTAGTCCTAGCTATCCTATTTTTTTTTTGTCATTGGATATAGATCTTATTCTTCTGTAGAATAGAGCATATTTTCTCTTTCTCACAAGGTTATTTGTACGACCAAATGAGATACGGTGGCAGCAACATAAAATATAACACGTACTTTCATAGGCATGTAATCATAGGAAGATATGGAGCATGAGCAACTAAGAATTTCAGGGTTACTATACAGCACACAAACAAAAAGTACTTACTGCTAAAAGCAGCAAGGCAAAATATTGAATGGATTACTTTTTTCTAATTTTCATTTACCTTTTGACATTCTTTACCCCCATATAATATTATAGCCACAGAGCAGGGAAGGAACACTGGCAAGAACACTAGGCTTTTAGCTTGAGGATCCAGATTCAGGCCTTACTTAGCTGTTTATTCATTTTATAACTTTGGGCAATATAGACAGTTCTGCATATTACATGAGATCATTTAGTGTGTATGCAAAACATGAAATGTTATTTTTGGGTCAGGTACATGAGACTATCTGAAAACTGCTTTTATCAACAAATTTAGTATGGTAAGGGCTAAAAGGCTAGATGGAAGAAGCCTGACTGAGAGCACCTGGGGTCAAATCTAAACTTCAATATTCTCATATTTTGACTTTTATAGGCTGTTTACTCATCTGTAAAATGAGATCAATCTTAGCTCTCTCTGGGGTACCTTATGGTTGTCCGTTTCTACAAATACAGGCTTACCAAAATAAATTGATAACATGAATGGAAAGTATGACATTAAAAGTGGTTAGAATCAGGTTTAAAAAAATTAATGGCAGGGCCTCCCCAATGGCACAGCGGGTTGAGCACAGGTTCGATTCCTGGCTGGCCAGGGAGATACCCACATGGCACAGCAGACCTCTCCTGTCTTGCCCACTGCTCCCTGTTTTCGGTCCCTCTGCCTGTTCTGCTCCCTGTTCTGTCTCTGGTGAATTCTCTCACCCTCCCATGCCTCTGGACTGTAGCCCAGTTCTTGTATAAATAAATCTTAAAAAAAATTAATGGCCTATTTTCTTCCTAACATTCTACTATTCATCATTCAATCTAGTTTTCTAGAAAGAAATATTCCTAAGTCTACAATCCATAAAGAAACCTGAAAAAATTTAAAGAATAGCTTATAATTAAAAGAGCTAAATTCCATTTTATCATGAACATTCTTTTTTTTTTTTCTTCCCCTCAGTGCCAGAGATAGAAAGGAAATGAACATTTTTTTTTTTTTTTTTTTTTTAATATTTAGGCCTGTGGGAAATACCAGTAATACTGGTCACTTCAAGAATTTGGGATCTGGGCCTCCCTGGTGGTGCAGCGGTTGAACGCTGGGTTGTGAAGCTGCCGCTGCCTCTTCAGCGCCAGTTCGATCCCCTGCCATGGGGTGAGGGTCCCACATGGCATGCAGACCTCTCTTGCTGCCCGCTGCTCCTCTCAGCAGTGTATTTCGTCACTCTGCCTGCTCTGCTCTCCCCTCTGGTTCTGGTGAATTCTCTCACCCTCCCGCGCTTCTGACTGTACCCAGTGCTTGTATAAATAAATAAATAAATCTTTAAAAAAAAAACCAAAAAACAGAATTTGGGATCTTAACAGCTCTTCCATGAAATTTCAGAAAACTAACGACACTTAATTTCTAGCATCTATTTTCATACTTAGAACAGACTTGAGTTGTGATGTGGTTGTCTCCAGCTCTCCTTTTTTTTGTTGCTCCTGTGTCAGTAGTTCTTGGGTGGTCTGTATAGAATTGCGTAGGGCAATGCAGTTTTGCTGCAAAATTTGCACCTGAAATTGTATAAGAAAACTCCTTTTCTATAAGGTAAAGAAATTTCTTTAAAAATACCTTACATGTGTAAGAAAATTTTTCTAAATTTTTCTTAATGTTGCTGGAGGGAAAAGGGGAGTTATCTATATGATACAGTAAAATATATCAAGAGTACAGTGTCTTATAGCAGTGCCAACCCATAGAACTTTCTATGCACTCTGCAACACAACAATCACTGACCACAAGTGACTGTTGAACATTCAAATGTGGCCATTCAAAATGTGAACTGAATCTTCAATTTTGTTTAATTTTAATTAATTTAATTTATATGTGGCTAGTTGCTACTATATTAGCAGTACATGTTACAGAAACAAAGAATTGTTTACAAATTCCTTAAGCAAAATCTCCTTTATAATGAAGGACAGTCATTGGTTAAAAAATATATATAAATATATAATGCAGCTATTAAGATTTGAAACTGCTAATTGCCTTGCATATATAGAATTTTAAATTATAAATTACACATAGCTACCTCAAATAACAGCTATGAAGGCAAAAATATTATGATAAGATATTGAGAATTGAAAACAGTAGCACAAATATATTCCTGATTATTTTACTTATTAGTGCTCTTTGCTTCAAGTATTAGCTCAGTCTAATTTTTATTTTCTATCCACATCACATACATATAACACTAACAGAGATTTAAGTGTAGGAGAAAAGATACCATAGAGTTCACCTCTATAACGCCTGAGGCAAATTAACTTCTCTTGTCATTAGTGACCTTATTCATAAATTAAGAGACTAAATGATACCAGAGTCCTTTCTTATTTTGTAAGAAAATATTTTTAAATTGTAGTAAGAATGTTAACAGATTACTATAGAAAAGTAAATAATCTAGAAGTAAAACTATAGATTTAAATATATAGTAAAATAACAGCTTTTCTTTTTTGGTTTCACTTTCCTAACATAAACGAGAAAATGTCTACCTGTTTCCTTTCCACCTCTACTGTTGATCCCATTTCTTGTATTTTAAGTAGCATGGCTGATTCAGATTTCTCAAGAGATTCCCTTAGGTGCCTCTCCTGAGACAGTTGTCTCCTTAGCTACAAAGCAACGTTGTAGTTAGGTGAGACCCAGGAACATCACAGAAGTTTAACAAAGATCAAAGTCATCATGTAAAGTTTACCAAACATACCGTATCACCCCCAAAACACTCTTCATTCATTTACCACTACCCAGAAGCCTTTTTTTTCTTCCTAATGGATAATCTTATAAGAAATGCAGAATCAAATATGTGGACCATGTCTTCCTATTGTATGTCTCGTTTCCAAATTTCCAGTCAAGACCCATTAGGAAGTTGCAAGCAGCATTTGAAAAAGGTGGCAAGGGGGAAGCAGGGAGGGGAGAAAAAAACAGAAAGATGAAGTAGTAAGAAAGGATATTGTTCTGTGAAAAGTGTGTGTGTATAGGTACACAGTGTTACACTGTAAAATATGTCTTATAACGGATTGCTGTCAAAAAAGAAGTTTGAAAAACACTAATATCATACCTTAATATATGTATTTTCTGTACTACTGTATTTTCTGCCTTTGTTTTTTAACTTTCCCTATATTTTGATTTTATCTACATATATTTTTTATCCCATAGTACTACAAACATATCTCTGAAAACTTTCAGTTCTGTTTTGGAATTTAAAAGTAAAAACAGGCCTCCCCGGTGGCGCAGCGGTTGAGCGCTGGGTTGCGAAGCTGCCCACGGCCTCTGCAGTGCCGGTTCGATCCCCGGCTGCTCCCCGGCCACCGGAGGAGGATCCCACATGGCGTGCGGACCTCTCCTGCCGCCCGCTGCTCCCCTCAGCAGTGTACTTCGGTCCTTCTGCCTGCTCTGCTCCCCGCTCTGGCTCTGGTGAATTCTCTAGCCCTCCCGCGCTTCTGACTGTACCCAGTGCTTGTATAAATAAATAAACAAAACAAACAAATAAATAAACAAATAAATCTTTAAAAAAAAAATAAAAGTAAAAACAAATAATAAAGTAACCATTAAACAGTAGACAAAATTGACACTTAAGAATTTAGGTATATTAATCTTATTTCTGTCAATAAATATGAAATGAGTCAGATAAAGATATAAAGGTTGAGTCATTTAATAATGAAGAAATCCTTTCCAATTAAATGGGAATTGCAGAATGCTATTCATTTCATGAAGAGATGTTAAACAGAAATATTTTTAATCCCAGAGAAATACAGATAACTTCTCTAAACTATACTTATATTTTAAACCATTTTAAAAAAGATTTTAAAAGTAGGAAGAGACAAAGACTCTTGTTGGCATGAAATTGTTACAAGATAGCCCATTTTGAAAATATTCTATGATTTTCTAATCATACCCCGAATATTGAACATTCAGGTTTTTCCAGTTTTTCACTATTCTACATTATTTTTCTGAACATGCTTGTGAATAAATTTTTCAGTCTAATTATTTCCTTAGGATGAATTCCTATAAGAGAAATCACTAGGTTAAAGGTATAGTTTTTAGACTTTTGATACATTGTGATTTTCCTTCCAACTTTACCTTATCAGTAGTATTTGAATAAATCTCATCAGTACTACATATTATCATTTTCTTAAATCTTTGTTAATCTAATAAATGAAAAAGAACATCTCAACATATTTGCATTTCTTCAGTAGTAAGAATAAACAATCATACGTTAATTAGCTATTTATATAATTTCTGAACTGTTCTTATGTTTTGTCCATTTTTTTGTTTTGGGTTTTTTAGTCAATTTTAAGTTCCTTATAAAGGAAGGTTTTTAACTAATTTGGTAAGGTTTATTAGTTTCGATTTTTTTTCCTACATAACTTGTCAAATCAATTAAGTCTTTTATAATTCTGTTCTTTTAAGTTTAGAAATTCCCTCATCCAATGATTAGTGAATTATTACCATCTTAAGAACGGACGACAGTTTTCAGTTTTGGCTCTATTTTTGAGGTTATGTTACACTTACTTTATCCTATAGAGTAGCTTAATATACTTTTATAAGTTCTGAATCAAATAATATAGTATAATTTGCTCAAAATGTAATATGCTTTATAAAGGGAATTTTTATTTGATAATTATACTGAAGCATTAAAGGCAACCCATCTGTTCAATGTTCATAAGAATTAGATTTTTTTCCCTAAATCATTCACTTATTTAATTTTAAAATTAAAATGACACATAACATTGTATTAGTTTTAATGTACAATATAATGATTTGATATATAAAGACAATATGAAGTGATTATCATAAATTTAATTAACATACATCACCACACATAATTAAATATTTTTCTCATTAAGAGAACTTTTATGTTACACTCTTAGCAACTTTCAAATATACAACACAGTATTATAAACTATAAATATCATGCTGTATATTATATCCCCAACACTTATAACAATTTCTCTCCCCTCCCCCCCATTCTGTCTTTGGAAACCACCAACTGGTTCTCTGTATCTGCATGTTCAGAACCATATTTGTATATATGTACTTTTTATTTATATATATCTATCTTAGGAAAATATATACATTTATTAGGTCTCTGTATAGTCCTCTATTATAGGCCAAATTGTATGACCCCAAAATTCCTATGATTACATATGAATGGGATACAATATTAAAGCCCTAACTCCAGTACCTTAAAAAGTGAATCTATTTGGACAGTCTTCAAAGGAGTTCAAGAGATTAATATACAATGAGGCCATTGGGTAGATCCTGTGTAATGTGTAAAGTCTACTTTACTAAGAGGAGGAAATTTGAACAAAGAGACATGTAGGATATGTCCAGAGAAAATACCCCGTGAAGACACAGGGAAAAGGCTGCCATCTGCAAGCAAAGGAGAGAGGACTCAGGGAAAAAACAGATCTGCTAACTCTTGATCTTGGACTTCTAATCTTTTGGACTGTGAGAAATAGATTTTTATTGTTTAAGCCACCCAGTGGCAATTTGCTATGGTAGCTGGAACAGATTAATTCATACTTCCTGTTCTATATACCCTCAAAATGCACCTGTTTGACTAGAACAGTACTTATGCAGGTAACAGAGTTCAAAGAAAATTCAAGATCTTATAGCAACACCATGAACTAGTACTTCCCTAATAAAAAATAAGTGTCAGTCCAATGCACAAAGGATAGTCTTTTCAACAAATGGTACTTAAACAACTCTGTACACAAAAACAAAATTTAAAAGCTTCTACTCCACGAAAGATACAGCTTAGAAAATGAAAAGATAAAGACAGGGAGAAAATATTTATAAAGACACATTTGATGAAAGACTGGCATTCCAAAAAAATATAAAGAACTCTTAAAATTCAGTAAAACAAACAGTTATGAAATGGATAAAAGATCTAGCAGATACCTCACCAAATAGGACATACAGATGGCCAATAAGTATATATATATAAAATATATATATGTATATGTAAGTATATATTATATATAATATATATGATATATAAGTATATATTGTGTATATATACTTATATATAAGTGTATATATATACTTCTCATATATATATATGAGAAGATCCTCAATTCATATGTCATTAGGGAATTGTAAATCAAAGCAAGATACCACTATGTAGCTATTAGAATGGGAAAAATGCAAAACACTGAAAACACCAAATTCTGATGAAGGTGTGGAGCAACAGGAACTCTCATTCATTGCTGCTGAGAATGTAGCATGATACAGTCCTTTGGTAAGATAGGCTGCAGTTTCTTGAAAAGCTAAACATACGCTTGTCAAATGATTGTGTGTCCCTAGTTATTTAGCCCAATAAGTTCAATATTTATGTCCAGGTAAAAACTTGCCTTTCAATGTTTGTAGCAACTTTATCCATGACTGCCAAGACTAGAAAGCAACCAAGAGGTCCTTGGACAGGTAATGGATAAACTATGGAACATCCATACAATGGAGTATTGTTCAGTGATAGAAAAGAGACATCAAACCATAAAAAGACATGGAGGACCTTGCATATGCTAAGTGAACCAGGCCAGTCCCCAAAGGCTACCTGTTGTATGATTCCAATAATAACAAATCACAGCAAAAGATCAGAGGTTGCCAGGAGCTTAGGGAGTAGTGTGGGGGGAGGGGAGGTTCAACTATGTAGGGCACAGAGCAGTTTTAGAAACTATTCTGTATGATACTGTAATGAACAGAGTGAAACAATATAATTAACGATGTCTCAATACTGATTAATCATATGTAACAAATGTACCACACTAATGCAAGATGTTAATAATGGGAAATCCTGGGGGTGGGGAGGTTGGAGGTAGATAGTAACCCTTTCCTGTTACAGTTTTTCTATAAACTTTAAACTATTCTGAAAAAAGTCTACTAAAATAGTCAAAACAATTTTTAAGCAATAAACTTGCTATAAACTATAAATAATCATGCTATTGTCAGTAATTACTGGAAAATAAAATGCACTGTGTAAGAGAATTTTCCAAATAGTTATACTTACCATCTGGCACACTAAAATTTCTAACTTTAAAAACTTTGTATGAGAATTTCCCTAGAACATGTATCTGTCCTTCTGTTTTGTATAACACATTTTAAATGTAACTTAACTATTATTTGGGCTAATGTCTATTATTATTCTGCCAGAGAACATTGAGGTTTTTAGGCCACTGTTAGTATTCAGTTATTCTTCTGACTCTTCCACTATTTTCATAAATTTTTAGTTACAACCACTTTTAGCAGCCACCTACTTTATAATTCCCAATCTGTTGTCTACTAAAATTTCAGTTGAAATGTGAGAGTTTGAAGGTAAAATGAGATGAGCAAGCTTATTAAAAGCATTTTAATTTAAACACAACTTTTGTTAAAGTCTTTGTATGAAAGTCTCTAGTTTATGGGTAACTGCATGAATTTTGTGGTAACTAGTTCCTTTTTGGCTCACTGAGCATCTTAAAATTTCTGGTTTTATAGCAGTATTGAGGCAAAAGGCAGTCCTTATTATATAAGGGTAGGTACTTTCACCTGAATTTCATGTGGCATACTTTTTAAATCTTCCTACTATATGGTCACTTTTTTTTTTTCTGCTTCAAATGTTTCTTTTCACTTTAGTTTGACTTCCCCTCAGCAAATCCAATTCCCCCCCTCCGCCCTATTTTTACATACCTCCTGAATTTTAAGGTTCATTTTACGTTTTGTGGATTTCAGTTCTTCTTCTATAATGGCTGCATTCTTCTAAAAGTAGAGGGGGAAAAGGTTACAATTTGAAATGAAAGAAATTGTCTATAAATGGTATTTTGAATATGGTTTAAAAGACTTATTTTGAGTCTGAAGTAATTATTACAGTGAGATTTAAAAAGAAAATTATTTTATTACTTTGATGCATGACTTATATTATTTCCCCTTTTAGGTCACATTTACCTCTTCTGTAAAATTCAAAAATCAGAATCTGGTAATTACTCTGTGTCTGTGTGTATGTGTGTGTGTATATATATATATATATATATATATTTAATTGCTCTGTATCTGCTGGCCTCAAATATTATCCATACTTACCAGCTGAAACTGAAAAACACAAGTTTCACAACTTAATATTTTATGTTGTTTCTTATGGCATCACAATTCAGGATGTAAAACCTCAGAGTTGTCATTGGGCTTTCTATATTCTACCTTCAGTCCCTATTCAGTATCATAGTCTAGCATATCTTTCTTTACAGAATATTCCTCTTTCCACCCAAAACACAACCGTAGACTTAATAAGGTTTATGCCTTAAGTATCACCAGATTCTTTTTCCCTGCAACCAACCTCTTCTCTTACAATCAATTTATACCATTGTCAGTTTTTCTATTCTGAATGTCACGTATCAAAAATCTTAATCATTCCTCATAGGATCATACCTAGCTGCTGACTACTCTTGATTCTGAGATCTTATACAATTCCAAGCTAATTTACAACTTATTCCCAAAACAAATCCTCACTCTTAGCTAATTTATGTATTTTCCCTTACCTGAGCCCAATAGAAAGATCTATGTCCAAACTTGGGTTACAGGAAAAAAATAAGCCAAGTATAATCTTCAAGAAGCAACTTTTCGGGCCTCCCCTGGTGGCGCAGGTGGTTGAGCACCGCGCTGTGAAGCTGTCCGCAGCCTCTGCAGCGCCAGTTCAATCCCAGCCAGCTGGCCGGTGAGGGTCCCACATGGCGCAGCAGACCTCTCCTGTCACGCCCACTGCTCCCCTTAGCAGTGTATTTCATCAGTCTGCCTGTTCTGTTTCCCGCTCTGTCTCTGGTGAATCCTTTCACCCTCCCACACATCTGGCCTGTACCCTAGTTCTTGTATAAATAAATAAATAAATCTAAAAAAAAAAAAAGAAGAAGTAACTTTTCTCTGGGCCTCAATACTTTTATCATTAAAATGGGGCAATAACCTACACCGTAACCTTTCGCAAAGATTAAACAAAATAACATATAGCACATCCATTACACTGCCTGGTTGGAAAATAAAATTGTTTCTTTTCCTAATCTTTATTTTTTGCTGCCTGTGTGTGTGCTCCTTAAAATATCCTTACATTTCCACTTAGCCTACTAAGGGAGCAGCTAAAATCCTCTTTGTTGAAGTTTACCTACCTTAATCTATTCTAGATAGAATATGTGTACCCTCTCAAACCCACTTGAGCACAAAGCACTTACTTTGTAATATTCACTTATTGTACCATGCTGTCCTGTAACATTTCCTGTAACATGGCCTGTTATTTTTTTTAATGCTATGTCTCATCTCTCAGCTAATGTGTAAGTTCTTAAAGAGACAGTACTTTAAATCCCTGGGCCATTCTAATGACCTATACAGAATATGGGTTCTTTAAATATTCAATTACTGATAATATACAATAGAGTAGGTTATCAATGTAGATAAATTTCAAATGTCAGGAATTCTCATATCTTTATCACCTATTTTTAAAAGTCACTTTTATGGGTCTTTTGCCTCCTCCAGCTAACATAACTGTGAATCTGTATTTTAGAACTCTGGACTCAAACCTTTGTCTCTGAAGCAATCTCCAGAGTGGCAGTCAGTCTTTGCACTTCATCTTGTGCCTTGTCTTCTTCCTCTTTTACATCTCTCAGCTGCTGGCGCAAATTCATTACTTCAAGATGCAATAGCTTCAAGTCCTTAGAATGTTCTTCCTGTATTATAGTCAGGTGATCCTTCAGAAAAGCTGCCAGACAGCATAGAGAGGTCATCAAGCATTTGAAAGGTCAGGAAAGGAAAAGAGTCAACTCATGAAACACCCATACAGGATCAAATTTCTGATGATTCTCTCCTCTCTATACCTGTTTTCTGTGGATTCAAATCCTTGTCAGTTTGCAGACGAAAGATGTTCATCTTCAAGGACTGGATGAGGCGTTCCAGATGGCACATTCGATTTACCAGAAACTCACAGTTCCTCCATAAAATATCTGTTTTTCCCGAACAAATTACCTCATTCTGGATAGGACTAATGCTGTTCTGACTCACAGGTTCTTCTAAACATTTTGGAGGTTCCAAGTGGCCTCTGTGTAAAGATCCCAATGTAACAATATTATGCAAGGCAAGTGTATACTATGGTAATCCCAACCATCTAGTCAATGTAGTATTTCTACTAGAATAGCATCTGTTAGTCCCACCAAATTTAGAGTGTACTATTAAACAGAGGATGGGGATGGTATCAGTGATGTTTTAATATTTATTTTAATCTGAATTTAAAAATTTTTGGGTATGTAAAACTTGATACACAAAACATGAAATGAGAATTCTATAAGGATGAACTAAGAAAGTTAGCATGGTGGCAATATATCAACATGTCTTGAGAAAAATTTAAACAATGTCATAATAACTATGTGTTAACATATAATCAACATTGATACAAATTTAATCTTTAACTGCCAGAGCTATTTCATGGAAGCATGAGACCAACTATACCAAGTTTAAGTCTTAAGGAGAGACTTTCAGAAAATACATATTTTAAAGACAATCACACCACTATATTCAATATTGACTGATTAAGCAACCAGACTCCTGAGGTCATTGATAGTCCAACAGTTAATGGCAATAACTTCTTTAGCTGCACAAGGGGAAAAACAGTCCTTTTGAGTACCTTATTCTCAATTATGAAAAATTTTTAAGACTTAAAATCTTTTAATTTATAGTAAACTTGGGGGGAAGGAATGAAAAATATATACATGGGATGAATCTAGTTTACCTTAATATTAAAGGCTATTTTTGATTTGAAAAACAAGAACCAAATTTTTACTTACATGAAAAATTACATACTTGTTTTTCATCAAGGATTAAAGGTGAATAGGATATCAAAGTTTGTGCACCCAATACATTAAATGTCTGTTTAGGGGAATAGTGGTAGTAGCACTATTATAGGATGACAACTCTCTTAAATGTGCAAATATTTTCGAATTAATGCTCAATGGAAACTTTTTCCCAATTCTGTTGTAAATATCCGCTTTATCTGCCAAACCATCCTACTGTGACTTCTTAATACTCAGCGAAGGAAAATTCTCCAACTTACAGCAATCTAGTGTCATTTGATTAGTTTTCCTTTTTCATGTTACCTTTTTTCACCAAAGTTAAACATTATTAGGTCATCTCTCAGAGAACTGGTCTGTTCTTCAACTATTCTCATTCTTTGCTGAAGTACTGTGAATGCTTCAGAGGCTGTAGGATTGATGTGGGTTGGAGAGACAACTGGTCTGGACATTGCAGTTTCCATATGCACCTGAGATTAAAGACACAATTTTAATGTATTTTTATTTTTGTTCAAAATAGTCACTGCCCTTTCCTGTGGGAGAATTATATAACCGTTATGTGGGGCTCAGGAATAGTCATGTGTCCGGTTTTGCTTTATTAAATGTAGGTGGGAGCTATAAGAGCCAACTTTTCATTCATCCTCTCTCCCTTTCCCCCCTCTCCCTGTGAGATGAGCAACATTCCAGACCGTGTGTGCTCCATGTGCCATGATCCCAGAGTAAATATCACATGAAACAGGGCCTTGACCCATCCAGTACACAATATGAGTAGTAAATTTAAGCTGTTATAAACACTGAGATTGTTCAATAATTTGATATTACATCATCATAATCCAGTCTATCTTATTACTACTATTAGACACACACTAAGTTCTATGACTTGGCTGAGGGAGTTATTACCTGTGTCATTACCAGCCATTTTCATTTTAATACATTCCTATTCTAAAAAAAAAATTCTACACTTGGACATTGAGCTTAAAATAGATTTGCAAACTATTCTGAAGCAGTGATTTTTAAAATTTGTGAACTTCATAGCAAAGACTCTTTGGAAGCTATTAACACCAAATATCTAGATTCTAAAACCAAATCACATGAGAATAAATGCTAGTAGTACTCTTTCAGGTAACAGTGACAGAAGCAGAATTGGCCAGCAGTGCCAACATGTAAATGAATCAGGTGTCCAAAGTTCAATATCAGGTCATGGGTGAAAACTTCAAAAACATTTTTTCAATTTCATCTGCAGACATTTCTAAAGTAGACTGTAAACCTTAACTACAACTAGCAAAAGTGTTCAAAGCAAATGTGCTCACAGAGATCCCACTGGGATATCAGTGACAACTTTCTCGCCAACTCGCTGTGTAATCACATCTCTCTTCCCCTCACCACCCAGGCAGAAGTGATTCCTAGGACCCAGGAATAAAAGAATGAGAATTGTTCCTAGCTCCCAAGAATAAAAGAATGAGAAGACTGCTGGTAGGATTTGACAAAAAAATGTGATGACAAGTTGTGGAAAAGCTTAGTTCTTTGACAATACTGCTACAACCATTGAGGACATTTCTTCATTCTGAAACAGCTCTTCAATCACCTATCTTCCTCTTACAAGTCCCAGGGAATGGCCTCTTTTTCCTTTTATTCTTTTTTGTAGCTTTATTGAGGGATAACTGACAAATTGCATGTATTAAAGGTGTACAAGTGATGATGTGATATATGTAAACATTGTAGAATGGCTACCAAGGTCAAGATAATTAACAAATCCATCATCTGAGATAGTTAAGTGTGTGCATGTGTTAATACTTAAGATCTATGCTACCAACTTTTAGTATAAAATGCCATGTTACTAACTATAATCACGCCATGCTGTATATTAGATCAGAACTTATTTGGAAAGGTAACCTATAAAATTGGGGAAAATATTTGTGAACCATTTCTGGTAAGGGGCTAACATTAAAAAATATATAAAGAACTCATACAATGCAATAGCCAAAAAGCAAATAATCCAATTTTTAAAATGAGCAAAGGATATCAATAAACATCTTCCCAAGGATGACATATTGTATGTTTATGAAAAGATGCTCAACAGCTCAACATCATCATTCACATTAGGGAAATGCAAACCAAAACCTATGTCCCATTTTCTCCCACCTGCTGTCTGCCTACTGCTGACCTAAAAATAAACCAGACCTGGAGTGGAGAGAAAAGGCATGGAAAGGGTATGTGTACTTGGGTTTTATGGCAGACTTGACTGGCTCCTTTGTCCTCTCTCCAAAAGAAGTTGAAAAGTTCACATACCCAACATCCCTACTTGGTATCCAAGTGACACATCCTGAGTCAATGAAATATTTTTCTCAGGCATATACTTGCTGGAGCCTGTGGGCAGACTTTTGTTTTTCTAACAAAAAGGATAGAAATGATGGTACCTGTCATTTCCTTCCTTCCTATGATGCCCAGAGCTGAGGGTTCTCTTTCAGTAAGCATGTAGTGCCTCACATTTAAAAATAAACAGAGCCAGGCATCATCTCATATGATTAATAGGAAAAGGTCAGAGCAGCTCAGATTAACCTGACATTTTTGGCAAAATCAGTAACTTCCAAACTCTGCTTATGGGAGAAAAATTAACTCAGTTTTTTCTGTTGTTTGCACACAAAAGGATCTTTAGCTGATACATTGTTGGAGAAACAGAAGATAAAAGAAATGACAAGCAGCGCTGAAAGTGAGTGGGGAAGACAGTTTTGTGGCAAATTGTTAGGATCAGGTAGGTGATTGTTAAGGACTGTTTATAGTTAATTTAAATCAGAAACCTAACTTATGATAATAGTACAAGTAACAAAAGTCCATCTTTAGGGAAAAAAATACAGGAAATGAAACACAAGTATCTCCACATATTTTGAATGGGATAGATACTTATCTGAAATGTTTTCAAGTTAACTAGTGAAAATGTCAGTTTTGTTGATATTTCCCTAAGGTACCTATGATATGTATAAAATGCTTACATTTACTTTACAGGGTGTGTACATATTCTATCATAAAAACAAAATGAAAACAACTCAAATTACTTCATTTGCTTAAAAAACAAATTCCATGTATGTTTAAGAACTCGATTTGCATCGTTGCCCACCTGAACCTAATCTATACTGGAACTTCTCAAACTTTTAGAAAGTCAAAAAAAAAGGGAATAAACTTGGCCCCCCAGCTTCTGAGGGGGTGTAGGTTTTAAGAAAATTCACCCTATGAGAAAAGAAATTGAGGTGCCTAGATCGACTGCTGGTGGACAGAAGATAAAGCTTTTGAGTGAAATACATGGTGTTGTTCTTGAAATATCATCAAAGGAATGTGTTCAGGTCATCAAAGAAATTGCCTCAAAACAAACAACAACAAAAAGTCAATCTACCCTTTGGCGATTTATTAAAAACAAGGACATGCCTGTCTGTGACTATGCAGGTACCTCTTATTTCTCCTTTTCCTAATAAAGCTGTGCTTTTAAAATGTAAAAAATATATACAAGCAGATCTCAGGGTTAGTGGTAGATCCATCCCCCACTAACCACCATAGGGAAAGAACTGTCAAGGTTGGAAGAGCTCTTGAAGGAAGGGAGAAAGCAATGGTGGATGAATGCCCACCACAGAGAGAGTCTCTTAGTCTGGGAGCCTGTTAAAGGAAGAGCAAGGTAAGGACTTGTGATCCAGTGAATGTGTGGAGCCCGGGGTTTAGAGCCAGGAGAGATTCTCATTTTCACTGCTGTTACTCATACCCATGCCTGTCCTCCCTCACCTGGCAATGGTAACAAATGCCACTTTGGGGACTCGTTATCCACTAGCCATTTAGCAGATCCCTACAAACTAACTCTATGACTTTTCTTAGGCTTATAATCTAATAAGTAAGGTCGTGCAAGAATTGAATCTAGCTCTAATTTCTAATATTCCAGCAGAGACTGCAGCTGAAGCAAATTTGTGCTTTGCTGTTTTTGAAATGCGACAAGAATCACTGAATGAAGACTTAAACCTAAATTTGGATCCTGGTAGTGACAATAAAAATACTAAGATATAAATTTCTATTTTCATAAAAGTTCACTCACAGCTACTTTCATAAATATATCATCAAGTTAATTCTGTCTCTATCCTTAAGGAGAGTATTTCCAAGGAGATCCTAAGCAAGTATTAATACGAATGTCTTCAGTATTACACTATTAAAAGCCAGGTTTCTTTGAAAAGGCAAAACTTGCTTTTTGGACAAGGCTCCAATCACAACTACATGCTGGTAGTTCCAAAATAACAGGCTAGGAATACAATGTTCTTTATCACAACCACTGGAAAATAATTTGGTTACCGTCTCGGTTCGCTCATACATCCAACAAACATTTCCTGAATGTCTAGCTGGAGCCAGACACGGTTCTGGTACTTCAACAAAACTTAACCAAAGTCTATGCTGTTCTAGCACAAATATCAGGTACTGAGGAAACAGCAATGAACGAATGTAAATTCCTGACACCTGCTTTCTAATAAGCAGGCCAGAGAAGATAAGAGGCGGCCGAAATTAACGGAGAGATGCCGTTTCTAGGACCTCATAACCTCCAATCTCACAAAGAAGTAAAAGTGGTACTGAGGCTTAACTGGAGGCTCTCTCAGGTGGCTTTCCTGCCTCCCTCTGCTGGAAGCAGGCAATGCAAACTCCCTTCCTAAGCGAGTTTCACCGGCACCAGAACCGAGACGCTGTAAGTCGGGCTTCGAGGTCCCCAGGGAGAGACTAAGCTCCACCGGGGCGAGGGCAGGTTTGGGTGGCCTTTTCAGAGCCGCCGACTCTCCCGAGGAGCCCGCACCTCCCTGCCGGCTCACCCGCCCACGGCCTGTCAGCCTCACTCCACACTCCAACCGTCCCCCTGTGGCTCTGCCCGGCGGCAGGCGGGCCGGCTCCCATAGAACTAAAGACGCCGTTTAAAACTACCCGCGGCCCGGCGTGGTCGCTCCGGTACGCAGGCGCACCTGTGGCAGGGCATGCCGGGAATTGCAGCTTTCCCGGCCCAGGAGGGCCCTGCGCCCGGGGCGGGACCCAGGCCGGATTCCGGCGGCGCGCACGGAACGCGCAGCCCCGTGACCCGGATGACGACAGGCCTCCATTGTGCTCGCGAGTGGAGCACGCCGGGATATGTAGTTTCCGCTTACTCACATCACGGAGTCCTGTTCTGTCTGCTTTGTCAAGTTGCTTTCATCTCCCTGAACCTCCGGCTGTTGGATAAACCGGCAAACACAAACCCTGCAGCAGGCGAGAGCCCAAGATTAGAAAGTGGTTTAGTTTTAGGAAGACAAAGTATCAAGTCAGTTCGGAATGATAGGAAAGTAAGTTTTTTAAGATGAGTATTAAAATGTCGAAAACAGAGTTCAAGCCTTGTCCTCATTAAAGCAAAGCCCAAACCCCACGTCGTCCTCATCCAGGAAGGCAAGAAAGGGTTTCTGCTTTCTTGTCTTTCTTCAACATAATTTGTTTCTTGTGCTGTCAACAGATATATGACTCGGTGTCTCTAAATCTGACTGTAAACTACTAAGAAAGAAGAAAAAGCATGAATCCACAACCGTTCGAGTTGTTTTGCTTAAAGAGTGGGAATTCACATTTAAGGAGAGACCTGCAGTGAAAAAACACGGTTGTGCAGAACACCTGCTACCACTCCCAGGCAAGTGGTGCATTCCTCTGTTCTCCCTGGGGCGCAGCTGAGAATAACTTCAGCCCTCAGAAGACTGGGGTTGAGTTCTCATTTGCTTAGTGAGTGGCTGATTGAAGTGATCTGGTTCTTCTGGCTCTTCTGATAATTGAGCCTCAAACTGGGATGGAGAGAATGGTCAGTAAACCACAGCTGTGAGACATTCATCAAACTGATCCCACCCGGTGAAAAAGAAATGAGCCCCGCATATATTATTCAGGTAAAGAGACCAAATAAAGCTTCTAATATGAGAGGGGGAGTATTCTAGAATATCAGTGTATAAAGCCAATTATTCTCTCAGTATGTACATTTTCTTTTGCAATAACTTCTGGTTTGTGGAGATAAGGGAGATAACAGATAATCTGGGCTTCAGTGGATCTCCCTATTAATTAAGCATTCAGGAAGCCAGACTGATCAAATTTAGTGTTTTTTAATTTCTTTTGCTCTGTCCACTATCTGGCAGACCTATATAAGAACTTAAGTAATGACAGAAAAGAATCTTAAGTCTTCAATAAACTAATTCATCTATAAAGAACCAGTCTCTAAATACCTGATAATTCATTACGAAATGGCTATGGGGGAGGGGGATATAGTCACCCAAGGACAGTGCCTAATAGAGGATAAATCACTGTGGGTTCTTCACCCATGTGTACAATTGCACAACCACTCAGGGGACAACAATGGGGCTTATTAAACCAACAAGAGAAATAGAGCTCTCAAGGCCACAAGTGTCTGGCTCTCTCACCCCAGTTAGTTTCCAGTGTCCAAAAGTCCTAAACAAAAGTTGCTCATCTAAGATGGCTTGTGCCGTCAACAGAGGCATGGAGCTGGTGGCAGCAGGCAAGCTGTGGGCCAGGATTCAACTCACCACAGCTGGAGGTGCTCACTGGCATGGCTGCTGAGATGATGCCACTGCAGCCCGTAGCAAGAGTCTGAAGGGCCTGGATGTACAACACGGGACATGGGCCAGACAGCAAGGAAGGCAACACTGGGAGGCGATGCTGCCAGACTGTTAACAGCTCTCACAGGTGACCCAGACAGAGTGTCACCTGTCAACAGTGCTAGACAGCACTGGCCAGTAGTTCTGGTCAGTACAGTTCACTAGTATTACAGCTCTTTGTGAGTTGTTGGCCCACACCAACAACAAACAGCTCTTTCAGTCATCAAGCCTGAGGCCTAGAGCTCTTTTCAGGTGATGTCAGAGGCAGGCCGGAGGCAGACAGTGGCCTGCTGAGACTCTGCGAACCTGTTTGGCTTCCCTGTGAAGCTTTTCAGCTTCTTTTCTTACTTCAGAGGTTAGCTGCTGGTCGCATGAGAGAACACCCAGTCCAAGCAGGAAAGTGTCCAGTCCAAGCAAGAGAGTCCAGTGATTCCGAGTGACCAGGTCAAAGCAAATCCATAGCATCCCAAGTGAGTCCAGTCCAGGCAAGTGTTGAGAGAGGAAAGTCCCAGAATGCAGGAGCCCAGGAGCCCGGGCGTATGCTTCAGAGAGCACAAGAGTCTGAGAGAGTCCAGTCTGCCCCAAACTGGCTTCCACCCTCCCTTATCTCCTCTCTCCTAACTCCCCCCCCCCCCCAATCCCCCGCTGCCAGTCTGATTGGACCAGTTTCAATCCGATGGCTGATTGGGCCATTTACCAGTGAGCTCATAACTTGCACCTGATCCATCCATTCCACGCTGCAGGCACCAAATCCACGGGCCTCTCTACTGCCTGCAGCTGAAGGGAGCCACAGGGTTGGAGCTGGCCCCATGGGACTCCAAAAGCTGCATACGCTGCGGTGGTGTGGCAGGGAACCTCTGCTGTCTGCCATCACTACTGTCCTTTGCCACCAGCCCGAGCACCAGTGGGGCTATAGGAGACAGACTATTCTTTGCGCTGCCCACACACAGTGCTCTGGGACCTAGTGCTGGAGGAGGAGGGTGGTGTTGGTTGGGAGCCTGCTGACCTAAAGGGAGCTGGAGTTTTTGGAATACACCTGTTTACATACAGAGTTCCAGGATGTTAGAAGTTCTGCAAACAGAACTTCTTCCCAGAATTGACTCCTTTCTCTGAAGACTATTGGCTTGTGTGCATGTTCCCCAGTAACCAGGAAAACTTGTTTTCAGCAGTAACTTATTAATCTGTATAAGCAAAAACACAATTGCATGCTATTTCCTTGTTTCTTTGTTCATATCTGTAATAAAAGCTTGGGCTGGGAGAGTGGAAGGCAGAGCTGCTCTCGATGGCACTCTCCCCAGCCTCCCACCATTGCAAATTCATTTAGACTCTGAGTCTTTGCTAATGGCAGAGAACTTCATCGGCTGTCCTGTCTGCAGCACGTCTTTGGTTTCAATTATATTAGAACTCTAATTTTATTCTTTTAAGTGCCTGATCACATATACTTTTTAAAAATTCTCAATTGATAAATAGTTTTCATACTTGTTGACTCCATTCATAAAGCAAGATCTTTTTAGTCATGGAAATGCTAGAGATTCCTTGAGGACCACATTCTCTCTCACTTCAATACTAGAATAGCCTTCTGTAGGATAAGGTGAAAGGTATCAGGCTTTTCTGCCCTCCTGCCATCAGGATAGATGACAGAACCCTGTGGTCCTGAATGCATGCCTGATGGCGGGCACCTGGAGTAGGGTGTGGGCAGAGATAGATGGGATTTGACTGGGCTTTTAAGGGCGGCATCTCAGAGACACCAGCAGAAACCAAAAAAGCCGATGGGGGGGGAGAAGGGGAGGGGGAGACGGGGGGGGGGAGAGAGAGAGAGAGAGAGAGAGAGAGAGAGAAGAGAGAGAAGAGAGAGAGAGAGAGAGAGAGAGAACAGCCAGCCTCCCGGCCCCCCAGCATCCTTTCCTGCTGGGTACCGGGTAAATCCCAATAAAATACCTGCAAAAACCACAGAAGACTCTGACTCCTCCTTTACCCAGTCTGCTGGATATTAGAAAACCTGCACTGTGGTCTTCCTGACCCTACATCTTCCAACTGGCTTTTAGTCACCCTTCCCAAGTGCATCCTTCATATCACTACTAAAATTAACTTTTTAAAAATAAACTTAAAAGATTTAATATGCTTAAAAACATTTAATAGTTCTCCCTTTGAACTAGTAGTTTTCCACTGAACAAAATGAAGCCCAAACTGCTAATGGCTTAAACCTAATTTGCCAGTCTCATCTGCACCTAGTTCCCCAAGGGACCTTGAAGTCACACCTACTGGCATGGCAAGTCTTTGTGCTGGCAGCTTCTGCACCCTCTGCCAGGCTTGCCTTTCCTCTTGTCAGTCTGGTAAACTCACACATGATCTGTGAAACCGTGTTATTCCCTCCCAAAATACTTATTATTACCACGTTTTAATTATCAGTGTGCCTTATCTCTCCTAAATTAGGAGATCAGCTACTTTCGGACAGTAGTTTTGTTCTTTTTATTTTAAACACCAAGCACAACAAATGGCACACATTAGAGGCTTGGTAAGTCCTTATTGAGTGAATTAATAAATTTTGAATGCTTTACGGAAAGTCTGTCTCATTCTCTTGACTCCTTATATATTCTGTTGATAGGCCAGCAAAAGGCATCTTCTTTCTTCCAGAACTGGTATGACTTGACATTGCAATTACACAAATGACAACAAAAATACTCGCAACTACTTCCCCTTGGAATTGCACATGCACTCTGTACATAAATGAAAACACAAAAATAAAAATTTTCTTATCTTATTGGTACAATAGAGGAATGAGGATGATAAATTCATTAACTGATTCCTTACTTTATGTGGGCAAGCCAGACCCTTTGGTGAAGTATTGGCTATGGTTATAAAGATTAAAATTTAGAATTCTTTAATGAACTGGTTTGCAACCCAGGGATGTAAAGATAGATTTATTAACTGAATCACTCTAGGATAACAAGACTATATTATAGTCTTTGTCACTTATTTTCACCAACTAAATTTTGTGGTCAATTAGATTTTCACATTGTTCTTTCGATCAAACCTAAAAATAAGGTCAAGGTTTTAGTGGTGTTGCTGTAGTTCTGTGTCACATTTCCTAAAAGTACTCTCCTGATCTTAATAGGATGACACATAATCAGCAAAAAAAACATCAGTATTCTTTTTTAAAAGATTTATTTTTATTAATGCACACAAGAACTGGGGTGTAGGCCAGAGGTGCAGGGTGTGAGAGGATTCACCATAGACAGAGTGGGGAGCAAAACAGGCAGATCTACTGAAATATACTACTGAGGGGAGCAGTGGGTGAGACAGTGAGGTCTGCTGTGCCATATGTGTTAGCTCTTTGGCCAGGGATGGAACTCAGTCTGCTCTGGCTGGCAGTAAGTA